GAACGCCTCTTGTTCATATTTTGAAGCAGTTCCTGTGCCTTTTGATCCCCTGTTTAACAGCAGGTAAGATTAACGCGAACTCAAAATGTCGACCATTCGCTGATCTTAAAGTGAACGCAAAAAAAACAAGCAACTCAATAGTATCAGTCCTTTATGTGCAGATGTTTCACTATCTTGGCCATGATCGCCTAATCGCACACCCAGGGGTGAAAAAAGTTTCTGATTTACAGGATATGGTGGTTGAAAAAACTGAGGCTTTTGCGAGCCAATTGGTGCAAAAATTGCAAAATTGAAAACAAAATTCAACAGCACAGAACATATGACAACAGACCATCCCAGCTAGCTGAAACTCGAAGACTAGTATCGGTCTGTACTCGCTAACGCTTGCAGCCCGAGTAGGTACAGAGCACATGAGCGTTAACGTTTCGCTATATGAGCATCTTTGGCTATAAGATGCTGCCAAACATAGAAGCTTTGATCAGAATAGCTTTTAGCAGGTAACAGAAGCATACTACAAAATATATTAATATGTCAGTGCTGGCGTCACAGATCAGTGGTGATACAGTGCTTTTTCAATGCTGCTTAGATCAATGCTTTTTCGCTGATTCTTTCCGCCAAGATTCACTTCACATGCTTAAAAGTATAAAATACCAGGCACCTAGGCTTATTTCTAGTCGTAAGAATTGCTGCTGGCTGCAGCATCTTACGGCGAATGTCATCAGCTTGTTAGGTAGTGTTACGAACGTACGGACGCAGAAACGCGAAGCGTAAAAGCGGCAACGTGTCACGTGTTTATGGTCTATCGCGTTGAAAAACTTTTTTGATATGATTCCTCTGTCCTTTGACAAGTAAAAGTTTAAATATCTTGTGACAGGTCTGATTGCTTTAATGTGATAAAACATCCGCATTTTCAAACGGCGCGTGCTTACATGCTACTTCTTGTTATTCCTTATTCTCAGTACATATATATCAAGACGGAGAAAGGGTTTCCTTACTTCTCACACTGCCCGACGCACCTCAGATTTAGCGTACTGATCTGACAACGGGCGTGAGATAATGCGTTTTTTGCTATCATTCGATTTTATTTGGAGCGAAAGGAAACTGCCAGAGCTGTTCAAAAATATATTGCGTCTGCTGATGTCAATATCGTATGGATTTCGCAAGAAATTTCATAAATTAAGCCCACGTTAGGAAGTGTGACACCTGCACCGGTAATACCAGTTATTGTACGAAGATAGTGAAGGTCGCCAACGCCTCCAGCTGATTGTGCGATGACGTCACTCGTTTTTAGGTACTTGTAGAAACATGCTATCGGTAGGTGTAGTGCTACAGGTATGCAGTTTTGCCAAATGCATGGGTGCGTGGGAGGGAGGTGGGCGCAGGAAGCGAACAACGGCTGTCCTTGCCTCTGAAATGCGATTAAAGCAATTTTCTCCCCAGATTTGACCCACTTTCTGTTCAGAGTTGGAGTCTGAGTCTGTCTCAGACAGACTCAGGAGTGAGAGTCAGAGTCTGTTCAATAATAACGAAAAAATATTATCTACGTCCCTGGTTAGGCGGCACAATCCCTACACCCCTGTAGAGCTAGTTATGTTAAGTATGCCTCTATCTGACAATTAGATTAGATCAGCTTCAACAATCACGCAGGGTTTGATAGTTCGCTTAAGTTCATCCAGTTCAACAGCTGCTCTGAAACAAAACTCAATCAGACAGTGATGATCCTGAGAGAGGCCTACGCCGTGGGCGCCCAACTGTGATGATTTTAAAAGAAGCCTAAACCAAGGACACTTGAAAGTGTTTGCTCGATGAGAGCCTGTGTGCATAGATACAAAGATATAGGACACCCGGCCTCTCATGTGCATAATTTGAATGGCGTTATTGTGACGTCAGGAGTGCCTTCGTGACCTGGAAATAATCCTCTCGAAAAAGTCTACACATCTTCGCGGGCGTATAGCTCAGAAACTAGAACGGTCTAAGTCTTAAGAAAGCTGAGCTGTGAACTGAGCCGAATGATCTTCAAGACGGCTATTTCCGTCCAAAGCCCCACACAAATGTGGAACACTCCCTTCAATAACGGCGCCATAACCGAGCATGTAAATACAGGTAAACGCGTTAAACCCATGGATAGATATGCAAGAACACTGCAAGAAAGGGCCAAAACACTAGCTCCAACACCGGCACGGCCCCATAGCTACCTCTCGGGAGATTGAAGTACTTCAAGCGAGTGCCAGGGTGGCAATTCCGCACGACCGGTTTGACAGCAACTCAGCTTCATACAAACGGACCATGACACCATCAAACAATGACATACTGAGGAGCATATTTACTATATAGAGAAATTGCATTGTCTAAAACAGTGTCTTCCACTTTAAGTATACCAACAGTTATCAGATAGCTTAGTTCATCATATCTAACGTTTGCTTCAATTTATTAAAATGGGGAACATTCACTTTGAGCAATTGGTTACTTGTTCCGCACATTTTGCTCATTGCTTCAAATAATTCGAGAAACATATCATTTATTTTAAGGTTTGTGCCACCTGCCATCCCAGATTTATTTTTGGCTAGACACCCCAGGTTTTCGTGATCTTTCTGTTCATGATGTAAAGGAGTTCCGCATATCAGATCACAGCAAGGATTCTAAAACATTAGAATTCCTTGGTTAATTGGCTACTATGTACTTCCTTGCTCCAAGCTAGGTAACTAACGAAACGTGGAGACCATAAGCAAGCTTTGGTGCAGTTAATTGTGGCGCCAAATGTGGTCTTCTCCTACCAAAATGAGCATATTGCCTTATAGCTCTGCATGACTTCGAGCAACGGAAGCAAGACTGCGTACCAGACAAAATTGTGCGTTGTCGGAAATTGTAAATTGTCTGTTTTGAGCATCGTGGTTTGTAGTTGTAGCATGTGCATATTTGCTTAGAGAAGTTGGATTATAGGAATACATGCCAAAAATATGTGATACACGACACAACTACAAAATGTGTTTTCAGAAACTGGTTACACCAATCGGTTTTACAAAATCGGTTTTGTCTGCGTTCCTGGCTCCTGGTAATTGCAACGCCTGTCACGGGATCGTTTGGCTGAAAGCAAGTTTACCTCATGTTCAAAACATTCTTGAAAGATGTATTTTCTGTCGCCGAGGAAATTTGAAGAAACCGCTGCAATATAACTAAATGGGATAAATCACAAAAACAAAGCTTAATAAGATGCAATGCAGCATAACCATCAAAAACATTCTCTTTCGGGAGTTTCATTTGCACTAAGGTATCATTTGCTGGCCATCAAACACTGAATAATAATCGAGACTAGTCAAATAAAATTATCTTACAGCTGCATGCTTGACATAACCGGATCTACAGGCCTGTCGTTTCCCATTAAGTTCGGTGAGGGGTAGTTTCCCTCTTTTATTTACCATTTTGTATTCATCATTTTTCGTCATATGCCATTTTTAGGTTCAGCGCACCCCCCCCCCCCCCCCGACATATTGTGAGAAGTTACACCACTGCTCCCAACTCTGAAAAGAGAGTGGACCAAATCTGGGAAGAAAATTTTTAAGTGCACTTTGAAAGCAGGCTGTCGTTTTTCTTCCCGCGCACCCGCCTCCCTTACTCCTACGTATTTTGCCAATCCTGTAGCCTTACATTTACCGATAACATGGTTCTACAAGCACCTGAAAACAACATCACTTTTGGTTTTGTGACGTCATCTTGCACCCAGGTGGAAGCGTTGGCAACCTTCACTATCTTCGCGTAATCACTAGTATCACCGGTGCAGGCCACATCGTGACATGATCCAATCAGTTGGTGCGAAACCCATGCAATGTGATATCAGCAGGTGAAAATGATATCTATGAGCGCCTCCAACACCTTTATTCAGCTCTACATCCAATATAATGGCGCTTAAAAACATTTTTGTCTCATGTCTGCTCACCGGTCGGAACGCTAGGTCTGAGGTGCGGCGAGCAGTGCGAGAGGCCCACACCAGCGATGCTCGGCCTCTTCCCTCAAAGCCGCTGTCTCTGCCATCAGCAACAGGAAGCCCCGGATGAATCCTTGACATGTGTAGCTCCAACGTCCCCCGTGTGACCTCTGAAGCGACAGTTTGGGTACCCACAAGCAACAGGCTTCCTAGATCGGCAGGGCCTTCAACGTCATTGCATGTGACGCCCTCCATGGTAGATCCTTAAGAAACCATACGGTGCCTAAAAAACTGGTCTTCAAGCCAGTCTGCTTCTTACGACACGAACACAACCAACGATAGCCTTCAGTCCTGCACCGAACCCAATTCATTACCGCATGGCAAGCATTCGAGCCCATCTGTCTCAAATGGGACGACGATTTAAAACGCCGCGGAGCGAGCTGATCACGTCCGTCGTAAGATGCTGAGGCCAGCCACCATTCTTACGACAAGGAAAACGCCTAGTTATTTGGTATCTTACTCTGTTGAGTATGTTAAGTGAATCTTGGCTGGAAAATCTGTAAAAAGCAGTAACCTGAGCGGCATTGGAAAAACACTGAGTCACCACTGATCTGCGACGTCAGCACTGACAGCATAATTTGTAAAATATTTCTGTCAACCGCGCAAAGCTATTCTGGTTAAAGCTACTAAGTTCGACAATACTTTGTAGCTCAGCTTGCCCATACAGTGGCCTGTCAACGTTTCGACAATTGCTCTGCGCAAGCCCGCCACTGCAAGCGTTAGTAAGCGTCGACCAATGCTTGAGTTTCGTGTAACTGAGTTGGCCTGTTGCAACGTGGTCTGGTCGGTTGTAATTTGCTTTCATTTTCGCGACCATGTCAGTTGGCTCACAAAAGTGTCCGTTTTTGTCACCGATCATATCTGGCAAATCCGATCATATCACCGATCATGTCACCGATCATGTCACCGATCATATCCGTCAAATCGGAAGCCTTTTCTCCCCGCTCATGGCCATCGCGGGATATTCATGCTCTGGGACTACGCACACCAATGTGATTGTTCTCTGTGATGTTTGTAATATATATTTTTTTAGTCTAACGATTCCGCTCGCCGCGCGGGGTCGCTGCCGCTCAGATGGTGGGATACACACAGTCAGAGGCGATGCCGCACATGTTGCCGTCGTCCTTGGCCATGCGAAAGAACCCGTCTTCGCCCCAGCCGGAGCCCCACGAGTTCTTGACGATCCAGTAGTTTTTGCCGTTCTCGCTGCCATAGCCCACGGCCAGCACGCCGTGGTCCAGGTCGTTGATGTCCGTCCCACAGTGATTGTTGCTGTAAATGCCGTGCGAGTACAGCTGGAAGTCAATGTGTGACGCGTCCATACCGACCGCTATCGGGCCCACGTTACCGACGGCGTCCATCAGCTCAGTCTCGTCCTGCGACTGGATGATGGTCGAAGCGGAGCAGTGCGCCACAGCCTTGTCGGCCTCGTACTTGCACGAGTGGTGCGTGCGCGCTGTATACCTGTAGTCAGCTTCGGCCATGATGCCGCCGTTATCGATCAGGTACTTGAAGGCGTAACGCATCTCACCACCGTCGCATGCGTCATTGCCGTAGTCGAATGAGCAGTCCATGATCTGTTGCTCGGAGAGAGACACCAGGTCGTTGCCGGCCAGCTTCCATGCGCCCTCCAGCGCGCCGGTCGTGGAGAAGGCCCAGCACGAGCCGCACTGGCCCTGGTCCTTCGGCTTCGTGACGGCGCCCTGGTCGCGCCAGTCGGCAGTGTCTGGCGCGGTCCGACCGGTCCCCTGGAACGGCCGGCCCTGCAGCCGCTCCTCGCTCGGTCGGTACCTGCCGCCAGAGACTGGCTGTCACCGCACACAGAGCTTCAGACGTGCGCACACACGGGGATGGGGTGCGGCGGATAGCTCGACTCGGTCGGTACCTGCCGCCAGAGACGGACTGTCACCGCACACCCTAGGGATGATGTGAGACAGGTAACTGTCATCGCAAAGCGTCTATACGTATTTGCACGAATCGGCGAAATGACGTCACCGGAGCTACGTTCACCTGCATGGTCTTCTGAATATTTTCTTTTGATGAAAGTGAAGTTTTCTTGATCGTCATGCGCATTTTGAGTCTATTATTCTGAACTTCTGTGCGTTGTGTATCATGAGATTGATACTCTGTCCATTATTCTGGCAGCGAATTAGCGAACCGCTATGATGGATGACAGCATTGCACAACATTTTTTCAACAATTTCATTGGTTGCCATGGGCGACGGGGTAACGCTTAGGCACACGCAAGGACGTTTGAGCGCTGAATCGTGATTATTTATTGTATTTATAGTTGAGAGCATCTAAAGTAATGCTTTTTCCAATCGTCACCATTCCTTCGTGGGCGATGGGGTAACGTCATGGACAGTCATGTTTTATGCAGTGTGTTGTAGGTAAAGTGCGATCTTTGTGTCAGTTACAAGCAGGGCAGTAGAACATCTGTGAAGAGGGGGACGTCATTTGTACCCGTTCCTTTCTACGCTTGTCATAGAGTTAATGTTCGATGTTTGGGGTGAGGCCTGTTCCCATGATCCGTTACAATGGGAAGAGCCAGTGATGACCCGACTCCTAGATGGCTGTTTGCTTTTGGAAAAGCACAGACCATTAGCGTTTGAAAACTCCGCATTTACCATCAATTTGCTGTGTAAAATACCACGGCCCTGATAAATTGTACCAAATGTAGCCCTGAATGGAAACGTTAACTGGGAACCAAGGACTTCTTTCCTATAAAGCATATCATGATCACTAGTCTGACTACTATCATGATATAGGAATATGAAGGGGGAGGGGGGCAAGGTGGACATGATTTCCACTTTTTGAGAATGCACAACATTAGTCCAACTGGCGATCATAGGAAGAGTCGACTTTCAAAGGACTCGTGCTCGGTCGTTTGTGATCCAACTTTGGTTTCAGCGTACTTGTTAGGTAAACCTCGCAGACCAGCTTAAGCACAATATTTCTTCAGCTTCCGCGTAGAGTCAGTGAGATCAGTTCGGTAGGTTTAGACATTCTGAAATTTTGACCCAGGGTCACATGTCAGCGCTTTGCATGCAAGACTGTACATATCATTGTTAAAGCACATAGCTTCAATCTGTGCCAGCTCAGGTTCAAAAGAAACAATGTGGACCTGGTGAGTCCGCATTGGAAGTCAAGGTGTTTGGCCGCGCCTCTGTGATGCATGTGCTGGTTATTGAACAAACATGACTTGCGGAAAACCAACACTTCTATTCCTTAACACGCGTTCGGGTGGGGGTCAAATTGAATCCTTCGAAGGTTTTTCCAGAATGGTTTCCGAACAACGCGGCGCAGCCACGCCAAAATTTGCATAGCTGTAGAAAATTAAATAGCGGATTGTTCGGCATCAGCAATTTAGATGTACTTTGTAAGGTCGCTGACCTATGGCAGCTCAAATTCAGGCCATGATTTCAGCGGAGTCGATTTCTAGGGAATCCTTCAATCTGATCCAACAACGGAGTGTTAGACGAAGCCATACATCTCTGGGATGCTTTCTTTGGTAACACAACAGTTGAATGAACAAGTTACATTGATCTAAGGGCAGGTATGAAGGTCACACCAAGATCAAAACCAACCTGTTTTTTTACTCTAGGGCTTGCTGTATGGGATAGTTTCTGGTGCTCATTTCGAATTTATTGCTTGCAGGAAACGCATTATATATCATCCATAGACTTCTTAGAGGTCAGAATAGGTCATTGACCTAAAATAACCAAGGTCAACATTTTGTTTTAGGGAACACACTGCCTAGCGTAATCTTTGTCGCTTAATCAAATGTAAAACTCAAAGCAATCTTGTGTGATTTTGGTCACCTTAATCTTCAAAATGTCAAACAAGGCCACTGACCTTAGATGAGCATGTGACCTTTTGCTTAAAACGGTTATCTAGGTTCTGGGGGCGCTCTGGAGACCAACCTGGAACTTAACCTTGTTTGACCTTTTTTGCCCCGAAGGTCATGACCTAGGGACCTGAAACTTTGAAATAAGTGAGTTCACGTACAGGTCAGCACATCCTGTAAATTTGGTGTCTCTAGCTTTTTCGAGATCTCAGGGGGTCAAATTGTCCCCCCCCCCACCCGAGCGAAGGGTATCTAGCCGGCAACCTGGGCGCGTGTTAAGAACCAAGCAGCCCGTGCTGTACGTTTTTCACTATTATATATATTTTGTCCTCGGCCCCTAATTTGTCGCAAGGACGTGAGCAGGCCCGCCTGACGTTCGCCGGCTAAAGAGGTGCAGGTGATGGTCCAGATACATGTCCAGTGATGCAGGACGCGTGGACGGAAGTGGTGCAGACGCATGTCCAGTGGTGCAGGAGGCATGCACGGAAATGGTGCAGACGCATGTCCAGTGGTGCAGGACGCATGGACGAAAATGGTGCAGGCGCATGTACAGTGTGCACCACTGGACATGCGCCTGCACGATGGACATACGGACGGAAATGGTGCGGACGCATGTCCAGTGGTGCAGGAAGCATGGACGGAAATGGTGCACACGCATGTCCAGCACCGAACTAGCCGCCTGAACTGGCGGTGATCGCTCGCCTACTACCCCAGGTGTGTCAGATCCTGATGAAAACTCGGGATCTGCAGCACGTCCAGCCCGTGGACATCTTCAGCCATCAGCAGCTCAGTTACTCAACTTGGCAGCTCAGCGGGCATCGGCTGGCCAAGGGTTGATGGACGGACTGTAAGGTGTTGCATAACCTGTCGCACCACGCTCGATCAGTCGGAGGACCTGTGCATTGGTCAAGCCTGTCATGGTCGTACCCTGCATGTAAGGAGTCGTTAGCAAGGTGGATGCTTGGCTTCCAGCTCGGCACCGGTGTCATCCATGAGGCACTTCGGGTGCTGAAGCCGGCGGTGGGAACGATGGACCCGCTGAAGCGCATCTTCTGCTTCTGCGTTAACGCGATGGCATTGCACGGTCAACAGTCGTATGACTAAAGCCTTTTGTCAAACAAGGAATGTTGTTATTAATTGATCCACTGCATTGAACATGAATGGCCGGAAGCTTAATGAACGTGGATTATTTTGATTGTGATGAATATGAATAGCCAGAAGCTGATGGACATGTATTGTGGTGCGCCCTTACTACCGCATTTGGGTTCGGGCTCGAGCAAGCCTTACCCGGTATTTGCTGGGCGGAGTGGAGCAAACCGGCGGGGCCCTTCTGCATCATGAAACTAGCAGCCGTCAGAGCCCAGCTCTAGTAAATGACTAGCCCCAGTGACTTGGCTGTTCCATTAGACTGGTCGCGCTAATGTACCTGACCAGGTCCGGGCCGGGATCCTGGCTTAGCTCAGGAGCTTAGGGCACATAAGCTTATTGCGCTGTTACACACGACAGATCCTCAAATACATATCAGTCAAGATGGTGAGAGATATGCCCACACTCGCTTCCGTAAGCCGTCCTAGGCCACACCGATATCTGACCATTTGTCCCGTCGGGTGATCTGCCGGACCGGGGTACTAACTAAATGCCAGTCTAGGCCTAGAGGTTCGATAGATTCGCTTGAGGTAAATTAACTGAAGGGCGGCAGTTGTGATGCACAGTATAAACCGGTCAGCTGGGGATGTGACTTTTAGACCATCTGGTGCATCCGAAGTCATCCGAAGCATGTCCCTCTTCACGTGTGCGGCTGTCCCGGCGTCAGCTGCTACAAGTACACCTGCTACAGACTGCAGCCTAGGGGTAGCGCTCTTTTGACCTGTTTTAGTTCGCATATTGCGAGCCCGCTGGCCGAACAGTGGAACCTCGTCTGGCATGAATATGTCAGTACGATTGAACGTTTCTGATTGGCACAGCGGGCGGCGAAGGCAATTTACCGAGAAGCGCATTCGTTTGAACTTGAACCAGTGCGTCACTGTGAGCACGGATATTTTGTTCCAAAAAACCAAAGTCCGCTTCGAAATGAATCACTGTGGTGTACGTCATAGGAGGGAGATCAAAATCATGGTATAACGCTGCGCCGGACTCGCTTGATAGTAGCCCCATGTTTCCCTACATCTTTCCCTAAATATAGCGTTCCCCTTAAATCATTACACCAGGATTTTGACGAATTATTGTATTATAAGCATTGCAGAACACACCTAAACAGAAAGGCAAATGAAAAGTGCCACGTTCGCAATGGTAAGCTGGAAATTCAATGAGACTACTTCTGCAGGAGCTGCTACTTCAAATGAAAATTCTGAGTTCCTGAGAAGTATGTCAGAGAAACCTTTATCACCGATCACACCGGACACGTCTGATCCGATAATAAGTGACAAATACAAAAGTTGGCATGCTCCCTTCAACACGCGCTCGGGTGGAGGGGGTCAAATTGATCCCCCAATGTTTTTTCAGAATGGTTTCTGAACGGCGCGGCGAAGCCGCGCCAAATTTTGCATAGCTGCTGTCGATTGAATAACGGATCGCTTGGTGCAAGAAATATGCTTATTGCATTGGATCAAAGTCAATTTCTAGGGAATCGTTCAATCTGACGCAACAACGGAGTGTTTGACGAAGCTACACATCTTTGAGATGCTTCACTAGGTAATAGAAACATTGAATGAGCAAATAACGTTGACCTAACGTTAGGTATGAAGGTCACACCAAGGTAAAAACCAACCTGTTTTATTGCTCTAGGGCTTGCTGTATGGGGTAGTTTCCCGTGCTCATTTTGAATTCATTGATAGCAGAAACCACGTCATACATCTTCCATTGACTTCATAGAAGTCAGAATAGCTCATTGACTTAAGATGACTCAGGTTGAAACTTTTTAAAACCATACTGCCTAGCATAATCTTTGTTGCTTATTTAAATGTAAAACTCAAAGCGGTCTTGTATAATTTTAGTCACCATGACCTTCAAAGATCAAACAAATTCAATGACATTAAATGAGCTTGTGACCTTTGCTTAGAAACAGTTGTCTAGGTTCTGGGGACACTTGGAGACCAACCTGAAATCTGACCTTGTTTAATCTTATTTGACCCGAAGGTCGTGACCTCATGACCTCAAACTTTTACCTAAGTGAGTTTACGTACAGGTCAACACATCCTGCAAATGTGGTGTCTCCAGCTTTCTTAGTTCCCGAGAACTTAGGGGGGGGAGTCTAATTGACCCCCAACCGAGCGAAGGGTATCTAGCCGGCTACCCGGGCGCGTGTTAAGGTGCTCTATGAATTAGTTAGGCCCTGCTCTGGATCAGGAGGTCCCGCTTGTGCTATGGAGGGGGTTGGTGGCTCGTGAAGCCCTTTAGGAATCACGAGGCTATCGTTCCAGATCAGGGAGCACCCTAGATAGGTCAGGAGGACCCTGGTGATGGTTTTGGGTTTCAGGGCGCGTCAGCCACCAGGTCATTCTGCGCCCAATTCAGGAGCACACTGTTCTGGATGAGGAGATCCCTAACCTCATGTTCCAGGAGACCTGCTTCGGATCAGAAGCCCCTAAGCTGGGATAAAGGAGTGCTGTACTGGATTGGAGCCCCTAATCGTAAAAAGGCCAGCGATCGCTGCACCGTGGGTAACACACGTGGCGGTGACAGATCTGGTTTGGCCTGCACTCCCACACACAGGTTTTTATCCGCTCCCTGAACTCCCTCATCCGACAAAATGACGACACCACATGTACTCAAACCGAAGCCAGTTCGGCTTAGATTCCAGAATGATGAGTGCCGGACTGACATATGCTGTTTGTTTACTGAAAAGCCATCATTCAAGTACGCAATTTGAATTTGTGGTGTGGGCAGGGAGTAGTCATTCCGTATTTTTCGTTAACGTCTTTTACTTGCGAAATGTAAGGCAGACAGATTTGAACTGGCACATCAATGGGCTCATCTCTCTTCAAGAGACGGGCTGATGTGAAACATGCTGGGCTATGGATCCAGGTCTTCGCTTGCAAAAACCGTGTCATCAAATGGTGTATTTAAAGGGAATGTTCCATATTTGAAGCCGTTAAGGCAGGCATGGAATACGATGATATTAGCTCACTTGTAGCTTTATATACTTGAGAGTGCAAAATGCCTATCTAAACAGTACAATTTTACAACTTAGTAAGCATGCGTGCCATTACGTCATCGCTAAATAGCGTCAGAGAACGTTTACATGGCGTCAGAGGCTGCCATACTGACCATTCAAAATTCCCATCATAGCGGACACGCTGACTCACTTGAAGTAAACTTCTCCAGAGACGTCTTGCTAATGGGCGCGGTGTTTCCATAATCCGAATATCGTCGCGTCCGTGTTTTTGGCCCTTTCTCGCGATATTCTAGCATTTAAATGTGTGACTTTATATTGTGTACTTGCATCCAGATGCTCGGTTATAACGTTACTCTTAGGTATTCGATTATGAGTCTTATTTCCGTAATAACTCCACTGTCACCGCCTGCCACTGTCGCTTCCTGTACAATGCAGCGTGATGCGTGTTCAAAACTCGCACTTCATGCATAACATTGGCTCAGAGTCAACTGAAGTCCGTTGGTGCTCGATATCGTGTTCATGTACTCAAGATGGGAATAAGCCGACAGGTGTTTCTAATTTGGCCTTATGAAGCACGCCAGGTAAGCACGCCAAACACGCAATTTCGAGGCGTAAAAATGCGTCTATGTGAGGTCCACTAGTCTTCTTCTCATACATACTCGGGGTGCCGTTCTTTAAGTCCCGTCCAGCGCTTTCTCTCCCCCCCCCCCCCCCCTCCTCCAAGGCTTCCGCGAGAAGGCCTGATTGTCTTGGAGTCCCCGTGTGACGCCGCACGCAAGCAGAGTAGTTTTGGTGACCACGACGCTCTGGGGCCAGCGGGGCCAAAAGCAGATGAGTTAAAAGGCATCACATGACGAGGAACCACCGATCGTCAAGATACCTGATGTCACGCCAAGGACCACTCGGATCCAAAGGCGTGACTCCCCGGCATCTTCTGCACAATCCTGAGGCTGCTAATTTGCTGGACCCCACTGACTAAGCCAAGTGGGGGTAGCCATAGCACACGTGCTCACGAGCGAGCAGTTGGCCAGGGGGCATGAAAACCAAGGCCTCTGGCCAGCATATATGTTTGCTTAGATTGATTCCGCCTTTGGCTCTTACTTATGCTTTTGGCTTTTTGTCTGCTTGAATTTTAGTCATTTGATTCATATCACTTTCGGCTTTTGCATTTCAATTTTACAGTTTGGCTTTTTCCCACTTGACATTTTTCTTTTCGATTTTTTGTCTTAACTTTGTCTTAAAAACCCCTCGCCTCTCCACGCACTCATGCTGAGGTCGTCACTGCGCCAGGCCACTCACCCGTTCATCTGCGCACGGAACTCCTCGCTGGTCATGTCGGCATACTTGTTGACGCCCAGCCAGTGCGTGTGCAGGCCGGCGTCGGCCTCGGCGTTGTGCTTGGCCACATAGGCCTTGTTGGTGGCGTAGGTCTTCATGTGCTTCAGCTCGTCGAACTGGTCGGCGTACAGCTTACTGTGGGTTAGCTTGAACTGGGCCCACTCGTCCACGTCCACCCAGCCGCCGAGGGCTGCGTGCGCCAGCACCGTCACCAGCAACAGCTTCATGATCACGGGATCTGGATGTTGTCACTGTCGGGAGATCAACGCGCAACATTGTTGTCAGTTGACGACTGTGGTACGTTTCGGAAAATGGATGCGTCGGAGGTGATCTTTTACGCATTTTGTTAGTCACCGTCCGTGATAAATGAATCCTATTGCTGCTGACACATAATCCTCGTAGTGAACAAGGTTCATGACATAACACATCACACATACATCTCGTCCAGCACATCCAACAGATTAACATCGGTGTACAATCGAACATGTCTTTCGTTTACGGGAACCGTTCATTGAAATAATCCACATGCATCAGGATGCGTATAACCAGCTCATAAAGATGCCATTCTGTTCTTAAGATTTCCTAATGGGCGGAGCTAGCTGACATATGCTTGATTCACTTTCCATGTGTTTACGCCTATTTTGGTATAGCTTACTGTCAGGGTTTAAATTCCATCATCAGTGAAACCGAGGGTCTCTGAGAACATGTAGTTACTTCATATGAATCAGAAGCAAGCATCTAAACAGGAAAATGGTGAAACGATTTCACAGATACCCATGCTGATAGGCAGCTTCGCTGATCAAAGATCAGTTTTTTGACGTCTGAATGTGGAAAACAACGTCTCGTGCTTAATTGATCCGTTTATCCCGGCCATACCCAGGGAGTCGTCGGATTACCAGGCCTTCTGCTGACGTCTGGTGTGTACCTGTCCCGCCACTCGGCCAGAAGGGTTGTGGGGCGCGGGGCGGGGTGGACCAGCGTCCCCCAGGCTGACGCGGACGGACAGGTGACTCGGTGCCGCGATCGGACGGATAAGCCACTGGCTGGCCGGCTGGCGGCGCCTCTCCGGCTATCCGGCTGACATCGGCCACCAGCCGTGCTGTCGCGACACTCACCTCCTGGTAAACAGAGACGCTGGCCGGTCAGCGCCGCCTTTATTCGCCGGGCCTATCGCGGCCGGCGGCTCAGCGCGAGGCAAGACGCGGGCCGGGCCAGCGTCAAATGGTGAGCTCTCACGCCTCTGTGAAGCAACCGTATCGGGCCGGCCGGGGAACCGGTGGCGCTTGCACAGCTGTCGAGATTACACGCCTCAACGATGGCCTTGTTTTCAACCAGAGGCACTTCAAAGGGGACTGGAGAAGTAATAATTATATATACATGCCCTCAGTGGAGCTATCGTAGTTTCCAACCGCTAACCAGCCTGGACCTAAGGCATCAATGTGTACACACGTCGACATGAAGTGCGTGAATCAAGAGTACGTGCGCTTCTGAAACAATCTATGTCGTGTCCTGGTTTGTGCGTTCATGTCCATAGTCGTATCAAGCGATCAATTTGCGTTCAGGCGTTAACAAATGTCATCGCTTCGTGATATACTAACACCATTATTCTCATTTGAATATGCTAGATAGCAGGCACAATGCTGCCCTGCTCGGTTTAGTGTGCTGTTTTGCCGGACTCTAAGGGTGCGAGAGCTTCCATATGTCGCCAATGGTGGCAAACAAAAAGATAGCAACCGTCTTAACCTGGTTGATCCACGTGACTGATCTTCACGCGAGCTAGCGGGACATCTATTTACTGTGTCCCGCGGTTAAGACTGTCTGCGGTAGGTGACAGCACGTGGGACAAAGACCAGATGATGTTATAGGCGAAGAGACGTTTCAAAAGCCGGGTAGCAAGGCTTAGGGCATGTTTAAGAAATTTATACTGGGGAGGCAAGCTGGCGACTGGGATGTGAAGATGGGATGAACGGTTCTGTTTGCGCTTAATCCATTCAACATTTCGGACATCAGCAATTACTGCGTTTGCCGTTTTCTCCTGTTGCACAAGTTTACCCACTCGGCCGGGCAATGCCATTTGGCAAGCAGAGTCACCCAGTTTCGCCAGAATTATGCATGCATTTTAATATCCTTTTCACTAGGGAGGCAAAATTCTAGCGGGGATTTCGGGTGACTGGAGAGGCGTCTGCCTCCACAGTTACCGTGCTAGAATATGGCTAGGATCATGCCCAGGAGCGCCGGTAAGGGACATAGGGGTAGGTGTCCCTCCCCATACCCCAACTAGATGCCGATAGGAGGGCCCAAACGGCTCGAAGAGCGCTGGGTGGAGGTTGTTTTCAGCGTCTCGGATCATTGGGCGGGGCCCTCCAATATCAGTCCGAGGGCCTCTTACGCCGGCCAGGTCCCCTAGGACACTGCGGGCCTCCATGTCGCTCAGGGAAGCACCAGCACCGAGCAGTTGGCTCCAGTGTTGGTCTGGGCCCTGGTTGCCCAATTCCTATGCAGGGATAAAGCTGGTGTTCACGAGTTTTGTCGGTTGGTGCCCCTGAAACAACAATGATCCCTGAGCAACGACTCCTGTGTCGGTCCAGAGGTCTACAGGCCTTTATGTATGGATATCTATATCCCAAGCCGGGAACATGGCTGAGGCCCGCCGTTTACATTGGCTGGAGCTCATTAAACGAGAGGCCCACAGTGCCTAACAGTGCGTCCTGTGCTGGCAAGAGGACTCGAGTCGGCAAGAGGCCCGTTTGCTGAACAGGGACAGGGACGAGACCCGAATTTCAGCCGGGGCTGTGCGTGCTAAACGGGGTCTTTGAATTTAAGAAGAAGGCTGAAGGGGGAGAAGGCTGGGGCCTGGGCGAAGAGGAGAAGGCCTGGGGGAGAAGGCTGAGACCTAACTTACTGACACGAGCCCCCCCCCCCCTCCATGCTTTTCGGAGTCCTCTCTATGCATGTTTACAAAGTAATGTGGACCCAAATTCAATGCAGAAAACCCCTGACGTGCTAGGTCGCTAAATATAAGAGTATATTACGACTAGTTGTAGGCTTTATTTTGTGTCACGTAATGCTCTGCATGTGCCTGACACGTGTTTGTCATTCAACTCACTTATTTGTAATCCAGTCTGCCAAGATTGGCTGGGATTTCATGAGATAACATCTGAATCGGGGTGAACAGGATGATGCCAACATTGAGAAACAGCGATGAGCGGCAGAGATGCACCAACACAGGACTGTGGTTGCGTGTAAAACTCTTTTACAAGAGTTTTAACAAGCAATCTTTGGATGCATGGGGAATCTAGGCGGTAGGGATTACCAGAGACATCTATTGACAGACTACCAGAGACATCTGGGTAGGTTTCTCAATGCTCAGTGCGGTATCGCAGGAGTTGGGGACAGGATGACAGTTCATAGGATGAAGAGCGCATAACTAATGTTCGTCAAGATAAAGCGCAAAGGATGCAAAGCTTTTTACTGCAAAAATTTGAATTGGTAAAAGCACGGATGGGTAAAGATCGCTTGAATGGTGTTCGTCAGGAAAACTGCGTCGCTGCGACGATGCGCGCATGGAGTGCATACATGCGTCAAAATTCGCTTCCCAACCTGCGGGATGAGAGAGAGAGAGTGAGAGAGAGAGAGAGAGAGAGAGAGAGAGAGAGAGAGAGAGAGAGAGAGAGAGAGAGAGAGAGAGAGGGAGAGAGAGAGAAGAGAGAGAGAGAGAGAGAGAGAGAGAGAGAGAGAGAGAGAGAGAGAGAGAGAGAGAGAGAGAGAGAGAGAGAGAGAGAGAGAGAGAGAGAGAGAGAGAGAGAGAGAGAGAGAGAGAGAGAGAGAGAGAGAGAGAGAGAGAGAGAGAGAGAGAGAGAGAGAGAGAGAGAGAGAGAGAGAGAGAGAGAGAGAGAGACTCGAGCGCAAAGAGTTGGCCACAAAGTTGGCACGACGTTAACCCTTTGCAAGAAGTGAAAACACACAGCTCAAGCCACACACAGCCACATGTGCCCAGGGAAATCAACCCAGATGCATCTAGAGCGTGTTTGTGTTCAACATGAGCGTTTAGCAAAGACGCGGGGTAAAAAAGTGACTTTTTGTCACTCACAAAATTTGGAACGACGAATTGGAACCGTCTTAATTGTTAGCTGGATTCAAACTTACCAGAGGCCGTTGCAATATAACTGTAAATGCGCTAACCCACAAACAACCAAGGTAAAAGAAGTGCGATGCTGCATAACCACCAAACATTTTCGTTTCGGGAGTTTTATTTGCACTGAATTATCATTTGCTGATCATGTCAAAAGTCCCGGTGATTAGGACGCATGTTTCAGTGCATTGGTCGGAGCAGCGGGCTTAATGCCGATGAGTTTGTCGTTTTTGGAGGGTTAGGCTGTTCACATAAAAAGTCACTGTCCACCACTTTACTAACACATTGTACACTCTTTTTGATGCCGCAAACTACGTCACCGTACTTTGAAAAATCGTTTGCTTTTGTAGACACAGCTATGGCCTGCGTCTATAGACACGGCGTGTGCAAAAGAGCTTCATAGTTTTGCAAAGTTCCTAAAATACAGCTTGCTAAGTCCTTCACCACGCTCGGAAAATATCAACCATCATCTTAGAACCAGCAGCCAGGAATTCAGCAATGGATGACCTGTTCCATGGCCTGGGTTACATCAAAGGCGGGCCAATGTTCACGTCACAAGCCTTTCTCGTGACGTGACCAGTGACTCTCTACCAAGTTGGCGTATCCACAAACAAGCCTCCTGGATCGGAAGGGCTTTTTAACGCCACTTTTGCCAGAGAAGTCCTCCTCGGTATATCCTAAGAAAAGCCAAACACAGTGCCTTAAAAAACTAAAGATTAACTATGTTCTTGAAGACAGTCATCTTTTCGCGACACAAGCACAACCAACGGCAGCCCATAGCCTTGCACTGGACCCAATTAAATACCGCGTGGCGAGCATTCGAGCCATCTGTCTCAAACGGCACGACGCTTTAAAACGCCACCTAGCAGATTGAACACGTTCGCGGCAAGATCCTGGTGCCAACAATGATTATTGCAGTGATAAGCCAACTTATTTGGCGTTTAGTGCTGTTTGGTACGTGAAGTGAATCTTGGCTGAAAAAATCCATGAAAAGCACTGATCTGAGGGGCATTGGAAAAACACTGTCACCACTGATATGTGACGTCAGTACTGGTAAGGTATAGTTTGCAGCATATTTTTGTCACCTGTTAAAAGCTATCCTGATTAAGGATGCT